GCAGTGGCAAATATGCGTTTAATTTGTCTATCTGACTTGTTTTCAATGTCGAATGTACTCTGGCCTTTGAGATTAACTTGTTGAGCGATAATGTCAACACAAAACTGACGATCCGTTGTAAAATAAAGGTGAATGTCCACGGGCGAATTTAATTGCTGCCAACCTCAGATGAGTTAACCTTTTATGATGCAAATCTAATTAAAATTCTATTTCATTATTCGATTTATTCATCTGATTATTTGTACTTAAATCACCTTAAACGACCTCGTGTGACTAGAACTCTTTGTTGACTACCTATAAAAGTTAGCTTTCTTTACTTTTCTTAGGCATAAGACTAACTTCAAAAAAACATCTTTAATCAAATGATGTATCCTAGTTGGCGTGGCCCATTATGTTTTTTACTTAACCCAAGAGGGGTGCCTCGAGATCTATATGAAACCCAGCATCGTTTTCAGTACACACTTCCATTTAAAATGAGGGTCAAGTCAACACTAACATACCAAGAGGGGCCTTAAAAACCGGCTACTCTTCATATATATTCATTTTGTCTGTTTCAAAACTACCAGCAGATCGTGAATAAGTGTGGCTTTCATCCTAGTACTGCATTCGTAAGGTGATGAAGTACTTGCGAGGCTAGGCAACCTAGGCGATGGCGAAACTGTAGACAAGTCTGAATTCGAATACCCTTTGGGAATAACGCTATGTGAAATTCATTGGAAGATTGAGGCCTGATCATATTATTATATGAAAATTCAATTATTAGTTCTTTCTCTCCGACTAAGAGTGAATATATTTACTAAGTAGTCTTAAGTAAGCTGGATTTGTGCAATATTTCCTTTTTAACAATCGCGCCTTCAGAGCTTGGATTGAGTCGACTTTGCTATTTTGTATAGGCCGAACACACAGGCTGGTTTATCTCAACATGGTGACGTGAAGCCTTACCTTTTTCCCGCCCAAATAGTGGAACTGTCAAGAAAGTGAATCCTGCCAAACACACTCATAGTCCTATCGTCCCACCAAATTGAGCTCTAACCTATGCCCTTGGGATCGTGATACTTCCCATCTTCTTTGCTTCCAGTTTGTTTCGAGAGATTCTAGCCTAATCGGCCGGCTTTAGGCAACGCGAGACTTTGAAGATGAAACCGACTGCTTGGCATGTACTTTCCGCCCGAACCTACTTAAGTCCCTCGACGACATCTCGAGCCCCACAACTGGTTGCCTGCCTCTGGCCATCCTCTCGTTCTGGGCAGATGGGCAAGACTCGGACAGCCAGTCAACGGTTGACGCCCGCATGTACAGATTCGGCTGATCCAGGCACGAAGAGGGCTCCTCTTCTGGCGAATTAAACGGAAGAGGCGACTGAGATACAACCTGATCAAAAGGTCAAAGTCGAGATTTTCCTCGACCCAGTTTGTCGTCAGGTTATCCTTCACAGACGCGCTTCCCATGCCAGTGAGCCTCTCTTCTGCCAAAGCCACCGGAAGCGGCCAACATGACACAAGCAGGCGGACAAACCCACTTTCTGACGGGTCAGTATTCCCAACTCCCCCTCCAGACACAAAAGTCACAATTTCCCATCTGGCCAATAGGTTAAAGGTTATTATTGGGCAAATCGACTGCAAACACATGCAAATACACACTTTCGCACATACATGCCTACATACACACATACATGTAGAAGCATTTTGAAATATGGACTCACTGACACGAGAGGGGACAAGATTAACGATCTCATGAATAGTCTGCGAATTGTTGCCCCAACCAGCACTTTAACAACTGGCGCACCACCCATACGGATACAGTCGGGTTGGTCAGTCGCTGCCCCTCCTGACGGACATGCACAAAAGAGTCCATGCGTGTGAGCCTGTTTTTGTCGCATAAGAGAGAAAATTTGGATGAATTTCTCAAATTTGATGATAGGACCTAATTGGCGATGGATATCGAAATCATTTGTTTAAATTGATGAGTAGGAAAGATTGCTCCTGAGAAGTTTCCTGCAGCAATATTCTCAATTATATGAAGAAAAGCAATATTTCGAAGAATCCCTTTATGATTTAATGCTACTTGTCTCTTCATTTTAAAGGAAAAATTGGTTGCAACAAATGTGCGAATTAGCTTTACCGGAAACCGAAAGGAGGAAGACTTTATCCTCGAAACGAATGTTTGAGTCACACAAACTCTTCGAGAGCCAATTTTGTGCCAGGACTGTGCCGATTAGGGCCTGACTTCTTCAAATTGACGTCCAACGAGAGTGGATTGGCCAAGCTCTAATTAGGACACATGAGGCTACATCGTCTAATTAACTGGAACAATCATGCCTTCGGGTTGGGCGAAGTGGCGCAAGAATTACGCCTCCCATCCCCGTGGCATGAACATGCCAAAACTTGCGCATCTCGTTTCAACCCATGCGCCTGGACGGTCATTCTCTCACCTTTCCTGTAACACTCGGGTTGCCGGATTTTCAAAAAGAAAGTCACTTGATCTGCGGGTATGCCAATAACCCAAATCGGCATGGGAATCGACAACAGACTGACTCTGAGGGTTGGTGAACTTGTGGCTTGGACAAAACCACCCTAGTACACATCACTAGCCCCACCAGACGGCATTTGCACACAAAAACGGGCACATGAAACTGCTGATTTTGAGGTAGAGGTACATAATTTCTACAGTTCACGGCCCCTGAAGACCGATTCCACTGCCATTTAATCAAAGCAATGCCCGCTTTTAATCGTTTTATGCAACCGGAAGAGGAAGGCCATAAAATGATCTCACATTCTTTGAAATAAACAGCCTAGCTGCTCGTGTGACCGAGCGGTACCGAAACCACAGGACCAACTAATGCAGATATTTCATTACTTTTAAATCGGCTCAGGACGGCTGGAATGAGAGAGGAGACGGCGCTTTACAGGAGCGTAACTCGTCCCTCTTCATTAAATTCCAGTTTTCACCATTGCCATTTGCATGTTTTCGAGCAGCCACCTCCGTCAGAGTTGCTTCGGCGGCATTGCCTGGTATCGGCCGCTTACTAACTCCAAGGACCTGCCATGTGTGAAACCCATATTCATAACACACCCACACACACACATATATATATAAACATGTAGATACCCGTTATAAGGGTCAACGAGTGTCACACTTGTCAACTCGTGTCCCAATTGTCAACGTGTTTTCATCAGCACGCCCCTATTTGTTTGGCGTGGTCTTATAAAATTTGATATCAGTTCCACCAACGAGACATTGGAGTAATGATCTGATTTTGGATAGCCTCACAATGAAGTAAGGCCGATTAGTAACCCCGATGGGACTCGAATCTAAATTCGGCTGAGAAACGTATTACCAAGAAAATGCGGGTTTCGAAGTATCTCCTAAGATGAGATTGTTGTGAATACTTTCATTTCTCAATCTCACCAGAATAAGTCGGCTGGTTTGCGTTGTACTGCAGCCTTTTGGCTTAAATACGATATTATATATCCTAATTTCTTCTTGCAATATGTATATATATATAATATATAAAAAATTCGGTTAATCTTCTTGATTGAGTGTTAACTTTTGTCGTTTGCAAGAATGAGTCCCAGCTCTGACGATATTCGTCATATGATGAACGAAATTTCAGCCCGTCTTCGCTCGAAACGTTGGATGATGTTTCGTGGACTGCATATATACGTGGCTGCACTACAACGCGAATCGGCCGGTATCTTCTGGTGATACTGACCTAGGAATCTCTTAATAGTGTAATTCCATAAGAAATGAAAGTCTTTACAACA